AAAAACCTAAAACTGACTACTGAGTAACTGTGATAAGTTAATGTAAGTTTGTCTGTTTTAATAAATGCATAAGTCTGCATGGAGGTTGACACTTGTAGAGGCTATGCTGTGTGCCCCGCATCTCCGTACTTTCTCCTCAACCTAAAACTGCTCTAAAATACTTAAGCTGTAATTAAAAAAAAAAAAAATCAGACCTTTAAGACAGAAGAAAATGTTGAATATATACTAGCTTCAATAGAGTTTGGAAACTTTTTACTCACCCATCAAAATGTTCACCTAATTTTATGGGAAATACACATCACATGTCAGACTCTTCCATAAAGTCACTTAATATGTAAAACAATCCAATAATGGTATAAGTACTGTGGTAAGCCTCATTTGTGAAATGAGGGAGGAAACTTCAGTTAAAGAAACTAAGGATATGGCAAAAGTTGCATAGTTTCTAAGTAGAACTGAAATGATCAGAAAGAGATGATCCCAAAGACTAATTTTTGTACTGGTCTGCCAAGTAACCAAATTATTAAAAGGAACATTTTTGTCCACCCCTCCCCACACTTCAAATTACATACATATTATTTTCTTCTTTATTCAAAAAAGAGCTAAAATTTTTCAAGGTATCTCATTTTTAAATAGCAAACAAAATAAGCAACTGATCTACCACATCAAACTTTCAGTAAGAGGAAGTCCCTGGGAAGGGCAAGTAACACCAAAGTTGTAATATTGAAAAATATGGAAAATGTTTCAGATTCTCACTTCAACAGAAAAATGTGAAAAGAGCTTAAAGGACAATTCTACGTAACACTCGAGTGATTCTGTGACTGTTACACAGAAGGTAAGGTAAAGGTAAAGGTAAAGGTAAAGGTGTTGTTACTGTGTCTGGCATATCGAATACTCTCGGTAGCTTGCCGGGCTCTCCAGAAAGTACACTAAAACAAATATAAGGAGCAGTTCTCTGGGTACTTTGCACACATGACTGTCTGGTTGCTAAAGTTGGGTAAGAAGTGAATGGGTTAAGAGGACTGGCCATATATGAAACAGTTCAAGCTAAGAAGGGGCCATATATGAAACAGTTCGAGCAAAGGAGCGGCCATATATGAAACAGTTCAAGCAATGAAGATAATTTCTAATAGAAATATAACAGAAAAGGGAACAGAAAAAAATTACTCAATTTTTAAAAGGGTTAAGAAATAAGTTTTGAAGAATACAAATCTCCTGGTAAAGGAGAAACAGGAAAGTAATTTCTATGCATATCGTATTACTACTACCAAGTAGAATCCGGGGGAAAAATAAATATTGTTTCTTTCCTTTCCTTAGTGGGGACCCACAACTAGATGTGGATCAGAGCTAACTCTTGGTTCTGTTCTCAGGGATTACTGCTTGGTAGTGCTTAAGGGTCCATATGGGATCAAACTGGAAGATGACACTGAAAACCCAGGACAGCAATTATGAAAACAAACACCTTCCAAGGTGTATTATCTCTCTGTCCCACAATGTCATTTTCAAGAATGAAAATGAGAGTGTGGAAAGAAAGACAGCACAATGGGTAGGGTGCTTGCCTTGCGGATGATCCGGTTCTATTCCCCATCATCTAATATGATCCCCCAAGTCCACCATAAATATTTCCTGCACCCAACCTCAGGAATAACAATGCCTAAACATCGCCAGATGTAGCCCAAAATACCCAAATAAATAAATAAATAAGTGGCAAATGCACTTTCAAACACAATATACTATAATAGCTATATTTTAATTATGTAAATATTACCAAGATTTTGCATTGGCTGGCAACTGAAGCACTTTAATCCTATTTCCTAATAACAAAAATATCACATAAAAGTTAGTTACTGCTGTATTGATTGCTCAATAATGGATGGAGGTACGAATACTTATCTTATAAAACAGAATAAAAAAACATCAATCAAGGAATTTATTAACAACATGAATAAAAAATATTCTATGCTGTTATCTGTTGACATTAATTGTTAAGTTTTGCAGAATAAGGAAAAAGATGTGGAGGCAAAGGAATGATCTACGGCTCAAATTTTAATCTGCAACTAAATTTCATTTACCCATAGATTACATGCATTTAGTCATAATTCTCCCTGACAAGAAATTTCCAAAAAAAGCTCACTGGTCAGATAAAACTTGCATAGGCACTTTTTGCCTAGAAAGATAGTAAATACATACATTTAACCCAAGAACTTTTATCACACAAAATGGGACTGAACAAAGGAAGTATTAATAGAGTTCTAGATACTGTAATTTGGTGTTAAAATGACTGTCACAGGAAACAGGAACAGAGTTCAAAGAGCTATTTACACAGGGGGCCCAGATTCACTTCTTGACACCAAATGACCCTTAAGGACACAAGGAGCAACACCCAAGCACTGAGCTAGGAGGAGCCAGAGTACCTCCTCTCAGGATGTGGCCACAAAACGCCACATTACAGAAATCTAGGCCATAAGTAATGGCATTATAATAGCAATGATTAAAACTAGATTTGATTCTTAGAGTCTACAAAGGATATTAGTGGGACAATTACTTCAGTGGAGTTTCAGAAGTCAAGACTTGTTAATACTGTCAATGAAAATGTTCTCATTTTACTCCTAACACTGTGGTTATTTAATAACATTTTGTTAAGATCAATTATATACTGAACTACATGCAAGAGCCCCGCCCACTGTACTATGGTTCTGATCCTGTTTTTTACTCTACTTTGTAGTTTGTCTGAAGTTTGAAATTATTGTGAAATTAGGATTAACTTGAGCAATTAAAAAACAATACTGTGTAAAATATATTGCTAAGAATTAGAAAAAGTAACAGAGACACTCATCCTTAAAAAGGAATAAAACTATGAGAGCATAAATATATTTTTGGATGGATTTAACAAAATCTACTTCAATGTTTTATTTTTTCAAAGATAAAACCAACAATTTGGTCCTGTAATTAACTACTTGCTCTGATAGTATTTAAGTAGGGGGAATGCAAGCAACCTTACTCTGTAACCCATATTTCTAACCATTTTGTTAGCTTTGTTATTCGAACTTTAAGGAGTCTATATGTACTGAGAGTTTTGTTCAGCAGGATCAGTCTTTTCAGTGTTATAGGAGCTGAAATAACAGATCCGTGTAAAGTCAGTATAATGACACTGCCATGTAAATGTAACTTGGTGTTAAAATGACACCAAGATGACTCTGCAAATACAGCATCACCCCACTGCTGTTAGAGATGAGCCCACTCATCTTGTTTCTGGCATGGAAGTGTCAGTTTCACACGTTTTCCCTACCCACCTCCCATATATGTAGCACTGGTAACACTGTTCTCCCCTTGTTCATCGATTTGCTCGAGTGGGTCCAGTAACGTCCATTGTGAGGCTTGTTGTTACTGTGTTTGGCATATTGAATTCATCATGGGTAGCTTTCCAGGCTTTGCCTTGTGGGCGAGATACTCTCAGTAGCTTGCCAGGCTCATCCGAGAGGAGCGGAGGAATCGAACCTGGGCAGACCTGGTCGGCCGCGTGCAAGGCAAACGCCTTACCCACTGTGCTATCACTCCAGCCCATATATGTAGCCCTCACTAAGCTGATGGCCATGAATGGGGCGCATCTTGGCTCTACCACATTGAAGAGAAACATTTTTTTGTTCCAGAAGAACGGAAACAAGTAATATCCAATATTAATCCACTGAAACCTCATTGGACACTCATATCCTGAATGGAATACCTTAATTGTGAAACCATGCCTATAAAATAAGAGGCTTTTAATAAAATAGAAAAATCATCTGCATTCTCCCCTTTGCTCATAAGGAAGGTTTACAGCTATGTATGAGGCAATCCTCCTGGCCTTGCATCTACTGTTCTTAGGTATCAGTCTCATATTATATTATTCTATACTCCACAAATGAGTGCAGTCCTTCTATGTCTGTCCCTCTCTTTCTGACTCAATTGTGTGACTGTAACCTAAACATGAAAGCTTGTAACTTTCTCACAGTGATTCAATAAAATTAAAAAAAAATAGAAAAATCAGGCCAAGACAAAGCAATTCAATTAATGCACTACTATCTCCACCTTTAGGAAGAAAGGTACATCTAATTTGAATAGTCCCTTTTATAAAAACAGAAATAAATCTTTTATGGCCTAATATTTTCTCACTGACCATAACAAAATAGTTTTTACATAAATGCATTCCAATTAGGTTCTATAGTAAGCTATAAAGTCAATTCTTTTAGAACTTTAAATATCAAGAAGCAACATAATCGCAAACTTTCACATAAAGAAAGTCTTTCTAAAAACTAAAACTCATGGTGAGAATTAATGAAACTCTGCTACAGGAACATTTTTCATAAAACATATAAACCCAGTCACATAAAGCATACAGTAGGTATTAACATTTATTCATCATCTGGTTTAATGTATCACAAGCGATACATATCCAAAAAGCAAATCCAAAAACACGTATACAAATATTTTCATTTGCATATCTGTATATTTCATGAAATACATGTATATTCATGAAATATACAGATATATACAAATATACATGTATATACATATAATACATGTTTATATTTCATGTGTATTTCATTTATATGAAAAAATTATAAATTAGCACTCAAAGAATCACTTAGATATTTCAATGAAAGCTTATTTCTGTTTATTCCCAATATCTTCAAGAAAAGAAGTGAACGATCCATATGAGTATTAAAGTACTCACCTCAAAATGAGGATTTCTTCTTCAACGGTCTCTTATCTATATAGGTCAATAAGTAGCTCTTTGCCAAAAGCAAATTATTATATCAAAAATTACTTTTCTCCATATCTAGAAAGATTTCTGTAATTTTAATATTGTATGCCAATTGTTCAAATATTTCCTCAGGGAAAGACTGGAAGGGTTAGAAGGAAAACTTGTCATTCCAATGGGCTAATATTACTTCAAAGTACTACATCTTAATGGGGAGATCCAATGAGTTCAAAGCATAAAATTGGAAAGAACAGATGATTACCTGATATTCGTTGGGCCAGAAGGTGCTGACTGCTAGTTCAGCCCGAAGCCAATCTCTACCGGTGAATCCAGACACATTCCAAATTGGATTGGCAAGAGGTCCTTTATTCACTCTGACTAGTATGTTCAAAGTGCCAGGACTCAGCCCTTTCTGGCTATATAATAAGTAACTGAAATCAATACAGTGAGTGTCATTCTCCTTCATTGTTGGTAATTGAAGTCTTGCTTTTTCTCCAGGGTCGTGATCCGAAGAGTCCACTATCATATAGGAACCTGAAATGATATTAAATACAATAAAGCTAAATAAAGACATGATGAAGATTAAATATACATACAAAGAAATGATGCTACCAACCCATTATAAATATTACATTTAACTCAGAAAGACTCTGATTCCCAGAAAGGAGACTCAGAAAGATATCAAACAGGTAGGTAAATTGTAGAAGTGCATATTACACATTGATTCGTTTAATTCCACAGCGGCATGTTATTACTTCTATCTCACAAATGACTGAAACACAATTTGTAGATTATTCAACATACAAGAAACCAGGTTCAAACTTATATCCCACTCTAAGAAAGCTCTAGGCTTAGTAAAAGAAGTTTTCAATATCAAACACAAACAAAAGTAATAATTTATGGGCCTTGGCTTATAAAGAATGGTAATCTTTTGCTTTCCATAATACTTGTGAAGAAAAAGAGGCTAAAAGTGCACGCACTAGAAGAATTTCCTATCTCACATTCCAAACATCATCATTTACACAATCTCTGTGACCTTTTCTGGTATGGGGATGAATTAAGGGTGGAGACTGTGGACGGCGTGTGCTCAGCAGTTGGAGGGGCAGTTCACTGATGCCTTTGCCTGACTGCAAGCCTGATGTGCTCCCTGGCTCAGCCATGTCGCATATCAGCAGTGCATTGTGCATTCAGTGTCAGGAATCTACATGGAAATGCATGCACCGCAGTGGAAGTTTGTGAACTCTGGCCATGCACTAGTCATTCTGAATTTCATTTAGGAAATGATACTTGGCAGTTTAATGTGAGGGCTGCGTTTTTCAAAGTATGAGATTTTTGCAGCTGAGATTAAAACACAGCAACACAGCAACTTCACCTAATTGAAATAGAACCCACTACGCTGCCAGATCATTGGGTAGCATTCATTCTCCTCCAAGTTTAGATTTTTACCCGTGCTATTTTCAAGCCGGAAGAAATATTTTGTGAAAATCAGTAAGCAAAGCCACTACCCTTTTTTTTTCCCTAGTTGATTATCTTCCATATGGCAATATACGAGAAAAAGTGGCCTATCCCAAAGCAGTTTAAACCACAATGCCGATTAGGAGGCAGAACACAAGCAAAGCAGGAAGGGCATTTGGCTTGCACACAGCTGATTTGGGTTTCGATCTCTGGCAGCCTATGTGATTCCCCTAAAACTCTGCCAGCAGTGATCCTTGAGCATAGACTCAGGAGTAAGCCCTGAACACTGGAGGGTGTGGTCCCTTTAACCAGAAAGAAAAGAACATAAAAGAAAAACAAGGAACACACAATTTGCACCAGGAAAAAAAGTCATGAAGTACAAAAATAGTTCTTGAACCAACACCAATTGGCTACTGTCATTAGTCCAAGGACACTGGATAAAGAGAACCAGTCTGACACATGTCTCTGTTATTTTAACTAAGATGTATAAACATACTTATTTATTAAACTTAAGGTAGAACACAATGTGATTACACCATTTTTTCACTAGGCACCATTTGGGGGAGATAGGCACCCAAGCAGTGATGGGAGTCATTAGGTCTACAATCAGTGACATAGGAAGGGCATGGAGGGCCAGGAGTTGAACCCAGGGCCCACTGGATTTCAGACACATGCATCAGCCTTTTGAGCTATCTTCCCGGCCCCAAAGATGCAATTTTAATCAAAACTTAGAAAATTAACTTTGGAGTCCCCCCCTAAACAATGACTGTTAACTATAATTCATTAAATACTCATTGACTTCCAGTATTTAATTAATCCCTCAAAACAGGTTAAAATCATTGCAGGAGGAAAAAAAGACCACAACTACATCAAAACCAGGTCTTCTAATCTGATCAATGCTATGGCTCAGAGCTTTTGTGAGGATTTCTTATAACACTCTCAGAAAGTAGACCAAGTCTAAAATAAACTGTCTATAATGATAGTTACTGATACCACGTTTGATTCATCTTTTTGCCAATTTCCCTTTGCTATTGTAACCCGAATTCTTTTTCTTTCTGATTCTCAAAGATTGCATACTAACAAATAAATATTTGAGTCATGTATATTCTTGGAAAAATTGTCATTTTTAACAGGATATCCTGGATCCCAGCCTCACTTATAGAAACATCCTGTTTCTATTCTGGTTATACTCCCATTTTCAAATCCATGGCTCATTTATCAAGACGTCTCTCAGATACTCTTTAGCAAAGCAGACCAATTATTGTTTTTAACTACAAACTCTCCAAAACTTTTGGATATGCTACTGAATGTCAATGGACCTCAGTTACTTTTAACTCTAATCTGTTTCTCCACTGCTACAAAAATTTTATTCCGTGATACATGGTGAGAATATCTGACTTAAACAATTTTTATAAGTCTTCAATTACATTTATATTGTAAATTTTAAAATACTGCTTTCTAAGTAACTTACAAGCTTTGAAGTACCATTTTTCATTATAAAATAAGCACAAAATTAAATAAGTTTTGTCTCACACTTGAATTATACAGTATGATATTTACCATTAAAACCATTTAGCAATCTTTAGCCAGCTGCACTTTTAAGCTATAATATTTTTCTTATTAAGAAAATGAGAGCAATGTACATTAATTCATAGGAAATACAAATCTGATCATTAGAAATGTGAAAGTCACAAAGTATAATCAGTCCAACTATTTCAGCCTCCCAAGGCCACTCAATGTGAGTTAACTAATTTTTCAAAGTACTTATATTTGATTTCTATAAAATGTATCACTAAGTGCATTTTTCTCAATTGTCTACAACTATAACTACATTTTTAAGTGCTATAGAATAAAATGTATGTAGTGCACCGTTCCAGAAAAGAATAAGTAAGCATTCACAGAAAACTGCCTTCTAAATCTTCTCCAAATGACTACACACAGTTGCAATTTACCCAGTAGGTGCCATGGAAGTAGTTACCTGTTTGACACGATTCCTTTCCAACACCTCAGATAAAACTATGCTATTCTTATCAGCTTCTAAAAATTTCTTCCACAATCTCCCAGAGTGACTGGCAGCCAATCTTTAGTCAGAAAATTTTACATTCTGCACTCACTCCTTTTCGTATTTATATTATAAATTAAACAGTATTGTCCTGTTACCAGCTAACCAATTATTCCTCCTCGAATTTCTAACCAAAAGTTTGGTTCCAGTTAGCTACAATTAGCTGTCTCTGAATTAGTTTTAAAATATGCGTATATATTCAATTTTTAATTAATGTACTTGTCTAATGTGGTCTTACAAATACTTCTCACAATATCTCCTACAATAGGAATGCTCATATCTATCACTTTAAGGAGCCATAGTACAGCAGATAGGATGCCTACCTTGCACAAAGACAATCCAGGTTTGCTTCCTGATATCCTATATCCCCCAAGCCCACTGGGAGTGATCCCTGAATCCAGGGCCAGGAGTAAACCCTGAGCACTTCTGGGTATGGCTCCAAAACAAAACAAAACAACAACAAAAATCTATCACTTCAGACAAAGGATAATATGTATATGCTAGTGGTATTATAATCTTTCAGGCCATCAATTAGCAGAAACCAAAGAACTTTAAAGTGACTTCTTTGTTAGGTATAGTTAGATATGACCACGTACCCTGTGGAGATTCCAGATTTAGATGCCTAATACTGGAATCATGTATAGGTACTTTTCTTTTCTTTTTTTTTTTTTGCTTTTTTTCTTTTTGGGTCATACCCAGCGATGGTTAAAGAGGTTGGTTACTCATGGCTCATGCACCCAGGAATTACTCCTGGCAGTGCTGAGGGACCATATGGAATGCTGGGGATTGAACCCGGGTCCGCCATGTGCAAGACAAATGCCCTACCTGCTGCACTATTACTGCAGCCCCAAGTATAGCTATTTTATGTATATAACTTTACATATGTATGTGTTCACAAATATAACAGATGTCTTTTTTTTTTGCCATTCTATTTTTTTGTTTTGTTTTAGGGGCCACAACCAGCAGTGCTCAGAGCTGACTCTTGGCTGTGAGATCAGGGATCCCTCTGGCAGGCGCAGGGAACAATGTGGAATGCCAAAGATCACCGTATCCACTATGATATCACTCCAGTGCTAACAAGTAAGTAACATTAGAGGATGTGATGTTTTCTGTTTGGTTAGTCTTGTTGGATGTTTTTAGTTCTTTTGGGGACACACCTGCTGGTAATCAGGAACCAAGTCGTGCAAAGATTGAGTCCAGGCCTCCCGAAGGCAAAACCATTGCTTCACACTTTAAGTTACCTCTCTGGATCCCAAATTGTAGTAACTTTTAAATTTAAACGGTGCTTCATGGAGTTAAGTTTAAATCTGGGGGCTAAAGATAGAGTATGGTAGGTAGGGTGCTTGCCTTGCATACAGCTAACCTGGGTTTGATTCCCGGCACCCCGTATGTGCTGTGCACTGCCAGGAGTAATTCTTCAGGGCACAAAACAAAAATAAAAGATAACAATAGCAATAATAATAATAAATTAAATATTATGAGGATAAAGTTTACAGTTATGTCATCTCATTATTATACGGTTTGAAACAGTGAAAATTTAAAGTATTTTAAATGTTCAATAACAGGAAATTTTGTAAGGACATAGTACATCAGTCTGATAACTAATTCTACAGTCATTAAGAATAATAATCTCCAAGCAATTTCATAGGATATACTAATATCAGCGGTAGGGCGTTTGCCTTGCAAGCAGCCAACATGGCTGACCCGAGTTCGATTCCTCCGCCCCTCTCGGAGACCCAGCAAGCTATGAGAGTATCTCGCCTGCACGGCAAAGCCTGGCAAGTTTCCCATGATGTATTAGATATGCCAAACACAGTAACAACAAGTCTCACGATGGAGATGTTACTGGGCCCGCTCGAACAAATCGATGAAGAACAGGAGGACAGTGACCGTAAGAGCTACATTAAAGTCGTAGGTTTTAAAATATTACACACATGAAAATAATATTAAATACATCAATAAAATTAGATTATTCAAATTTATACAGATAAATATGCACATATGAAAAAAATTCAAC